AAAATGCTTGAAATGGTGTAATTACTTAGTTTGTCCAGCAGAGCGTGCTCCATTGTTTGCCACTGGCGACCTGGATGAAATGCTTTAAAGCAGGGGTGCCCAAACTCGGTCCTGGAGGGCCAATCCGGCACGCCAATCATCTTCATCTGGCCCTAGGGAAGAGTACACGCAGGTTGCACATACGCCTTGAATTGTTTTTGCACTAATTAGTTTGCCCACAAGGTGGCATCACTGGCCCGGGCCGTTGTTTCACACAGCCAAAAAAGAAAAGGAAGAGACGCAACAACAACCTATCGGAGTCCGCAACATCAATAGACGGCAGCGTTGACAAGCGCTTGTGTGAGGGGCTTATGAGATATCCACAACTCTAAGTTTAAACGAGTATAAAGACAGTGTTATGTCATAACATCTGGCGAGAAATAGCGCAGACACTGAACGAAGCTGATTATCAAATGGACTACAGTTTGAAAGGCTGCGCGTTCGGCTGTTCGCATTCGTTGAGCCGCTTCAGTGCGCTAGTAGCTCTTCAACCGACAAAAACACACAATTATGCCAAAACTATAAAATACAATTTATTATAGTTTGTGAAGATTGTTTAAAGTTCACTTAATTAAAAGTTATATCTTTTTTAGAGCCTACTAAATGTTAAAAATATTATTCAAATTTCCCACTTTTATATCTGTAGCCTAATCAGCGAGGGAATCCCACTGATCACACCGGTGTGATCGTATGCTCCAGGGACCAGCCAAGACTGATCACACCGGTGTGATCGTATGCGTTAAAGGGTTAAACTATCATATGGCTTCAGAAGTAACACAGAATAATTCGCACAATCGAAAAAACATTTTTTTTCGGATTTAGATCGGCCCTCTCTGACCGATACCCTCGGATCAGCGCATCCCTAGTGAACACCCCTTAAATCTGCACATGACCATTCATTTGCATGCTCAAGAATGTGCTCTCAGGGTTGCATTGGCACTATGAGTGGAGACATAAATGGACTGCACCACTTGCATGAGTAGATTTAATTAGCAAACGGGGCATTTCTGTTTGCTAATGGCTTTTCTGAATTTTATTGGGATGGTTTTTTAAACCATTTACATATAATGGCTCAGCCAGCCGTGCTTGTGTCATTAGCCCATTTCCATTCAGAGCATTCATAAAACACACAGCAAATCCTGAAATGGCATGATAATTTATTTAGCATGATGCTACTTTGTTCCTTGTGATGATATTGCACACTTGGGCAAGTCTGTTGGCATCTGTTAATGCTGAAGTGTGCTGTGTTTTTTTTTTGTTAAACATTAAAATAATTTACATTTTTTCTGTCCCTGCTTGTTTGAGCAAACTAACAGTAGAATTGGCTGAACCAATTGCATATATTTGAGAAATCTGTCTGGCCGAATAAAGTCAGATGGAAGTGAAACCGGGTTTTTTTT